ATCCTGTCTGGGTTTGTTGGTTCTGGGCTGCCTCTAGTTCCCAGTCTGGGACCCTCAGCCCCTTTACTAGGAGCCTCTTTACTAGGATTTCTGGCCCCTGGGTCCCTCCTGGCCTGATCAGGTGAAGCTGAGCCAGCGATAACAGGGTCAGTTCTGACAACCACGCTCTTACTTCCCAGAACTGGGCTGCATTGGATCTCGGTGCCCTGGAAGTGGAGGGTCTGGCTGGTGCTGGTCAGCATGACCTGGCTCAAACAGCTACTATTGTTGCACCTTGATTACAGCAAACATTGGGTTCCTGGACATTTATACCTAGCTCATAGGCAGAGGAGTGTGTGTGTGTGTGACGTGCGTGCAGGAGAGCAAAGCATTGGAATGGAGGAAGATGCAGAACCATAGATTGGGGACCAAGGGAGATACTGTCTGGCTCTACTCGTACTCGGCACTGGTGAGGTCTCAGGAGGAGTACTGTGTCCAATTCTGGGCACACACTTTAGGAAAGATGTGGATAAATTACCGAGAGTCCAAGGGAGAGCAACAAAAATGATAAAAGGTTTAGAAAACCTGAGCTATGAGGAAAAGTTAAAAAAAACTGGGCATGTTTAGTTTTGAGAAAAGAAGAGGACCCAAATATGTTAAGGGCTGTTATAAAGAGGATGATGATCAATTGTTCTCCATGTCCACTGAAGGCAGGACAAGAAGTAATGGGTGTAATCTGCAGATTTAGGTTAGACAGTAGGAAAACTTTCTAACTATACAGGTAGTTAAGCTCTGGAATTGGCTTCCAAAGGTGGTTGTGGAATCCCCGTCCTTGGAAGTTTTTAAAATCAGGTTGGAAAAACATCCATCAGAGATGGTCTAGGCTTATTTGATCCTGTCTGGGTGCAGGAGGCTGGACTTGATGACCTCTTGAGGACCCTTCTAGCTCTACATTTCTGTGATTCTATGATTATGGTTTAGGGACTGAAATCTAGGACACAAGAAACAGAACTAAAAAAGGGATGAGAGCCTTTCCTTTTCATCTGCAATTTCCGCTAGTCTCATGGTGTATGTGTGTCAGGTTACCACACAGTCTGTGCTGTGGGGAAGTCACCTGGTGAAGGTATGGGGTCACTGCAGATTGTGACTAAGGCTAGGTAGCCTGGGTGTGGCACACAGGTCCGGTCATCCCCTCACTAAATGTAGGAACAGTGTTGCGACCTGCTCCTATGACGGGTTATAGGTCTAGGGTAGATGGGGTGGAACTAGACACTTACCACAGTCATAGAGGGTGTGGGGGAGGCAGGAGTGCTGCCAGCTTTTCTGCCGCCCTAGGTGGCGGATGGTCCCGCCCCGAAATGCCGCTCCCCACAGAGGCGGTGGAAGGTCCTGCCGCCGAAATACCGCCACGGTGGCCGCCCCCCAAATTGTAGTGCCCTAGGCGACCGCCTAGGTCACCTAATAGGTTGCGCCGGCCCTGGGGGGAGCAGAGAGAGAACGAGAAGGCTTCAGGGCATGAAGCAGAAAGGTGGATTTGAGTGTTTTAGTGGAGAAATAATTGGAAGCATCAAGGCAGGGCCGGGCTGCAGTGAATTGGACAAACGAGGTGCTATGCTGTGTTAGCAGAAGGATAAAATACAAAACAAAGGCCTGATTCCCCAGCCGCTGCAGATTGGCCATAGGCTCAGTGGGAGCTGCTCCTGGGTAGCAGCTGAGGAAGTAGGGCCAGATTTTCAAAGGTATTTAGGAGTCTAAAGATCCAGAAAGGCCGGCACCTCGTGGCATTCTCAGTAGTCAATGCCCAGCTCCCACTGATCTCAGTGGAACTTGGGCATCTAACCTGCTTAGGCGAAAATCCCTTTAGGCGCCCGCCTGCCTATCTGCATCTTTAGACTCCTAAATACCTTTGAAAATCTGGCCCTTGGGCTCCAAAAAAGCAGCAATAATGTTAGTGAATCGGGCACCTGTTGGGCCCCCTCTGGGATACTGTGTGTGTAGCTGGGCACATGGGACAAGCACACATCGTGGGTGCTACAGTGGTGTAGCTATGGAGCCGCAGCAATGCTGGCATAACCCTATAGCAGAGCCACATCCTACAGCGACGGAAGGGGTTTTTCCATCGCTGCCTCCCCCAAGTGATGGTAGCTAGGTCGAGGGAAGCACTGTTCCATCAACCTACCTGTGGTTACCCCGAGGGTTAGGTCAGCGTAGCTATGGCACTCAGGGATGTGGATTTTTCATGCCTCTGAGCACTGTAGCTGTGGCGAACTACATTTTAAGTGTAGACCAGGCCTCAGATCCCCTCAGTGGCGTAGCCAGGGTCTAAGTGTAGGGGGAGCAAACATAAAAAAGAAGCCCCCCGTTGGCTCCTCCTCTGGCCACGCCACCCCCCTTGGCTCCTCCCGTTTCCTCCCCAGATTAACCCCAGGGCCCGGCTCAGGACTCCTGCGGGCTTCCTGGGAGTGCGGATACCCCCGTCCCCCCGTGGTCCCGGGAGAGTCTCTCCTGCCCAGACCACTCTGCAGGTGTCCCCCGCTGGGCTGCGCCGCCCGGCCCCACCCGCGGTGTCCCGTCCCCCCCGCCCCGGGCTCCAGGCTCCTGCGCCGCGCCAGGGCCCCCGGTCCAGACAGCGCGGCCTGGGCCCCAGCCCTGCTGGCCCGGCCCCGGGGAGCCCCTCGCCCAGAGGGGAGCCCCCAGTGCAAGGCACCAGACCCCCGCCGCTCACCTTTTGTCCTGCACCGCCGCCTGTCCCCAGCCGATCCCGGCCCCGCGCTGTGGGCGGATCCCAACGCTCGGGGCGGGGAGCACTTGGCCGCCAAGCCCTGAGCTGCCGCAGGAGGTGGCTGCGCCTGCAGCGATGTTGGGGCCGCGTGGGGCGCGATGGCCGAGGAGCCGGCACCCTTACTCCTCCGGCCGTGCCTGCCGCCCCCCCCCCATGGCTCCTTTGGCCGTGCTGCC